AAATAAATAGTTGGCACAATAGATCATGTTTGGTTACTAAATAAATAGTTGGCACAATAGATCATGTTTGGTTACTAAATAAATAGTTGACAATATAATTCTTCGTTTTTAGAAATCTAAGAAGTTGAAGCAAATTCTGCTTATATCTAAAGTGTATTTTATTCTGTTTTTGTATTGGTTCTGATATTTAAGTATTGTCCAGCAGAGATATTTATATCTGATGATATTCACTAAAGTATTTTCAAATATCTTCTTTTTCACAGTGAAATTTGTATCGTTATTGCTAAACTATAGGAGCAGGAACAAAATTGTAAAGTTGCAATTTCTGATATAATATTAAAACTTAAAAACAACAACAAACAAGAACAACAACAAAAACATCAACTTTCGATCAGCTTCCGTTACTTTGTTTTGATTTTTTTAGTATTACCTAACACCTTCGAACAGAGGGTTTAAGCTGTTTATTATTTAGTTTGCTTTCAGGAACTTAAGAGTTTCTTATAAGCACGAGTGATCTTCGTACCTAGTTTGTTTCAGGCAAGACACCTTACGAGAGTGCTGACGCAATGTGTTTAAAATATCATTTGTTTAATTTTTTCTTGTTTCTTTACCACTTCAGCCCCATCCACTACCGCTTGAGTCAGGGAAGTATAGCTACACTCAGACAGCTACTGGCTTGTCACTACAGAATTCCCAAGTTGCCAAACTTCTTATTTCTCTGAACTTCTATCTTCAGAGACATTAGTATTCACTTCATTTAATAGCTTTAGGCGTCCTTCTTACAAGTCGATGGTGGCAGCGTTTATACCTAGGCATAATTACATCGTAATATATACATATTCTTAGATATGAATAGCCTTTGAATTTTATGGTATGTTTTTCTACTACTTTATTTTGACAAGTGTTCACAAGTATTTACCTAGTGCATGTGTTCTCTAAAGCTTCAGCACGGCTTCACACACACAGCATCGTGGACTTGCAACGTTATTACCGCAGCATTGACGTAAAGAACGAACAGATTCTACCCGATCCTCGTCAAGTCAGAGTTAATCACAGTGGACCACTTTCTGGGCGGATTTTATAATCAAGTGCTAGGGATTATTTTTACCTAAAGAGATAAATGGTAGGTTTCTTCTGTTCATCTATTTTATTGTTTGTCCTAGAAAGTCATCGTTAAAAAGCAATTAGAAAAATGTAAGACGCAGCTACATTTTTGTTTTTGTAGACGTTGTTTCTTATGCTTTATAAAATTAGGCTTATGTGGTTAAAAACACAGTATAATTCAAAGTATTTTTTCGTAGATGATTAATTATCGTCGACATTACTTTGAATTCTGAGTTACAAATAAACATGTGACAGAATAAGCTATTCAAGCAGTGACGTAGCAAGGGTCTGTTCCCACTCTCTACCTACTAGTCCCCTGGGTGGGACAGCGGTAAGTTTAAGAAATTACAACAATAAAATCCGAGGGTAGACACAGACTTTCTTTTATTTGTTGATTATTCAACTGTCACCTAATCATCTACCATAGATTTAAACAATAAAGTGTATTAAATTCTATGAATGGTTGCAGTAACTTGAGTACATCAATGATAAAATATAATAGCAGAATAAGCATTCTGGTTCAATAATTAACACTATTTTATTGAGCAGGCTTCCAACTCCTCTCTTCAAAATCGATACGAATACAATATTTCTGGAAATATTATTATAAATCCGAGCTCTTTCGACAGGTGGAACTTTCTTCATTAAGGGCAAAAACTGATGAAGAAAGGACTACCTTTCAAAAGTGTTAGGGTGAAAGGGTTTCATATTTAAATTGAGTTTTGGAATCTACATGTTTTCCTAACCTCATGAATTTTATCGCTTTCAATTTACTGCACTTTATCTCACTACTGTATAATGACAGAAAGTGTATTATTATTATATTTAATAAAACCGTCATTTACGTGCACTCACTTCAGTATTTGTTTTTATGTATCAGTTCGATTGAAGAGGTCAAGAAGGGACGAATTTAAAGCTTGATTTATCTTTATAAGTGTTTGTTTAACACGACAAATTTTATTTGACAGTTTACTTTTCTTGTCGTCATGTATAATTTTTGACTTTCCGTATACTGGGGTCATCATAGTTAATTACCATATTTCCCCTACCTTCTACTACGCCAGAATATTTAAGGTTTTTAAAGATTTAAATATAAAAGCTACTGATATTTTAGTTCATCATAAAATATAATTTTCTATTGGTTCTATATGGTCTCAGTCGAATTTAGAAGTATCGACTACTAATATAAATTATTTTAATACAGCTATGTACTTTATACCCTTTTAACCAACAAATGAGATACAACATGTGAAAAACAGATGTTTACTGAAAGCGTCATGAACAACAAGCCGTATGAGCAGTTCCAACATGTTGTGTAGATGTCTTGTTGCTTTTTCAATGTGCTGCAGTAAACCAGTTTGATGCTTCTACAGCAAACGTTTCAGATGTCTAGAACAGTATAGACAGTTTACAGCTGTATCATATCATATCAAGAAGCTTCATCTATGGGAACGTTTCAAAGAAACATTCAGGCTAGTTGAAATTAAAAATTGAATTTTCAACGAATTGTGAAGTTTAAATTTTCAGTAAAATGATACAACTAATTATATTCTTAAGTTAATTTCGAGAAAAAACATACATAATGAATTGTGAAGTTTAGAATGACAGAAAAATAATATAACAAATTAGATTCTTAAGTTAATTTCAAGAAGGAACAGAAATATGGAAGTATTTGAATAGTAAATTGCCTAACAACGATTTATAAGCATGTAGAGAACGTGTTGAGAGGTTTGTGGTCCTTTGTTCTTTTCTGTTTTAACACTATCTCAAATAAAAGAAATATTAAGGTCATAAACGTTCTACATAAAATATTATCCTACCATTACCACCAGTGAAACATTTAAGACGTTTTTGTGATGAACTTATCAAATACAAATACCATGAGATAACAGTGGATATTTGTGATTCTTGTCATACGTTCTGAATAATGATGTTCAACTACAACGTCATTACAGCAAATGCCTAACGTTCTGAATAATGATGCTTAACTACAACATTGTCATTATGGCAGATATATAACATTCTAAACAATAATGCTCAACTACAACATTGTCATTATGCAAATACCGTACGTTCTGAATAATAATGCTCAACTACAACATTGTCATTATGCAAATACCGTACGTTCTGAACAATAATGCTCAACTACAACATTGTCATTATGGTGAATACCGTACGTTCTGAATAAAAATGCCCAACTGCAACATTGTCATTATTGCAAATACCATATATTCTGAGCAATAAATAATTTCTAACATGTCGGATTACAAAGGATGTTCGATTTCACTAAAAATAGAACCTGAAGTGTTTTATACAGAATAAATGTATCTCTAAAGGTTGACAACTTGTTGAAGTTCCAGAGCTAGTACGTCAGCATCCCAACTAAAAAGGAATGCCTTTACATTACACGTTTAGTGTTTTTTCAAAAATAAAATATTATTTTAGTCACATTAAAACCATTTAGCATCATTTTAATCTAAATATTTTCCACAACTAAAATTTACTTTTATATTTGCTAGATATAGCCTAAAACCATACCTTTATGAGTAAGGTAGAGTCATGATATTTACATTAAAGGTATTATCTTTGTTACCTTCAGATGTTACATTGGTAAGTGCAAAATTAAAACGCAAATAGAAACAAATTATTTGGTTTAAAAAGGGGCAGAATAGGCTAACTGTAATGTGTCAATCGAACCCCAAATTTTAATGTTATTACAGTCACAAGCATGTTAGTTATATTACACTTGAGAGAGAGAGAGCACCAGTGAAATTCAGAATATCGAAACGTATTACGGTAATAAAGTGTGAAGTTTAACGTTCCAACATTCATTAAAATTAACTCACTAAGCAGTAACTTGCCCATTGTGATTCTAGTACTTCGTTCTTCCAGTTTTCTATGTGTTGTGTCGTTTTCCTATCTTACGCAATATTCATCAAATTAGCTCACTAAGCAGTAATTTACCCATTGTAATTCTGGTAGGTCGTTCTTCCAGTTTTCTATGTGTTGTGTCGTTTTCCTACCTTCCCAAAAGTTAATGCATCATTTCAATTCAGATTGTCTACAGAAACGACTTGCCTAAATTTAGAATACAAATGCTCGATTTGAAGAAGTCTGCAAGGTATATTTTGTTTAGTCGACAAAGATGCGTGTAAGAAACAGCTTCATAAACACCTAGATATAACTTTTAAACGTTTTGGATTCTTGCTTTAGTGGTTGAAATGTTACACCAATGTTAACATATTAATTTATTGGCATGTCGTAATATCAATGGTTGTTTTTAAATGCACATGAATATTCTTGAAAATAAAATGGGAGACATACTTAGGCAAACATTTTATGACATACATTTTTTTTTTCGTATCGAATTAGAGGTTTGAAGTAATGAAATGTATCAGATTGAGCTCATTTTAACACTCGAAGGTGAATTTGGTGATGGCGTATAACCGTGGAGGTGTTACCGTATAACACTGAACTACTCTTGTACCTGTTGAGCACATATGTTCAACATCGCAGGTGTCACGATTTTCTATTGTTGTTGTTGTTCTTCACGCGCATAAGAAGGATGTTGTTACAAAATGTTTTAAAAGTCGTTGCCTAAAACGAAAAGAATGATAAAGAACTGAATTAAAAACAATAATTTTTATTTGATCTTAGAAATTTCGGCCACTGCATACAAATATAAATCATTCCTGTGTTCAAGTCAGCCACTAATTCAACCATGTTGCCTTAATAAACCAAATGGACAAGATAGCTTTAAAACAACGGGTTTTAGAGTATAGTAAGAACGACTGCGGCAGTTTCTAGAACTACTTCGTAAGTACATTTTGGTAACCGAAAAGACTAGTTTTACACTTATTATTCCGCAAAGTAGTAGTTAAGTGATGTATCAGCATCTAAAGTGTTCCAACGGTCGTAAACAACCTCGGGACTCAAAAAATAAGAAAGAAAGAAAGAAAAAGTAAAGGCAAACAGTAAATAAGTTGATACATATGCAAGTAAAACCGTCTCCACTCATTATATTATAATATATAAAGATAATCACAGTAGACCATTTTACAAAGACCAACTTGGGGGGGGGGGGGTTGCCGTAGAAAGAGTAGAACTTTTCCTATTTGTTGTTCGCAATGTGAAGGGTTTGATAGAAAAAGTAGAAATTTCTCCATGTATACTATTGTAGTGGATATAGATAACCAAAATATAGAACAGCTCACAATTTGCAGTATATATAATACAGTAGGAAAAGTAGATCTATATATCCGTATATTGTTATATTGAATATTGTCAGACAGGCTATAGGACAATCTAGAAGTTGTAGTATAGATAATAAAATAAACAAAGTAGATATATTGTTGAACCATCTATTATTAAACCAAATGTAAGACAACCTACAAGTTGTAGTATAGATAATACAATAAACAAAGTAAATCTTTATCCATATATATTGTTGAACCTATATATAGGTGTATATCTATACAAGTTGTAGTATAGATAATACAATAAACAAAGTAAATCTTTATCCATATATATTGTTGAACCAGCTATTATTAAACCAAATGTAAGACAACCTACAAGTTGTAGTATAGATAATACAATAAACAAAGTAAATCTTTATCCATATATATTGTTGAACCAGCTATTATTAAACCAAATGTAAGACAACCTACAAGTTGTAGTATAGATAATACAATAAACAAAGTAAATCTTTAGCCATATATTGTTGAACCAGCTATTATTAAACCAAATGTAGGACCAGCCTATAAGTTGTAGTATGGATAATACAATAAACAAAGTAGATCTTTATCCATATATTGTTGAACCAGCTATTATTAAACCAAATGTAGGACCAGCCTATAAGTTGTAGTATGGATAATACAATAAACA